CTCATCCCACCTGAAGACCCGACACCGATCCGTGAAACCTTTCCTGATGAGCATCTTTTTGTTGTTCAGAATCCGCCATGGTTTGCTGATATAGTGAACTACTTGGTCTCCAGAGAACTCCCTTCATATCTCACCGGAGCTCAGAAAGATAAAATAAAGAAGGAGGCGAAAAGATATGTCTGGGAAGAGCCATATTTATAGAAACATTGCACTGATCAAGTTATTAGAAGACGTGTGCGCCAATATGAAGTTTAATCAATTCTGAATTTCTATCATTCTGAAGCTTGTGGAGGGCATTATGGACCACAACGAACCGCGCACAAAGTTTTGGACAACGCTCTTTATTGGTCTCATATTTTTTGCAATTCGTTCCTATTTTGCAAAACCTGTGACTGGTGTCAGATGACTGGGTCTTTAACATCTCGGAATTAGATGCCACTCACCCCGATCTTAGTATGTGAAATTTTTGACGTTTGGGGAATAGACTTCATAGGTCCATTTCCACCATCTTTTGGCTTTGTGTACATATTGCTAACAATCGATTATGTATCAAAATAGATTTAGGCAAAAGCTACTTGGACAGATGACGCGAAGGTTATGGTCGATTTCGTTAAAACTAACATTTTTGCTAGTTTCGGGACACCAAAGGCCATCATCAGTGATCGGGGCATGTATTTCTGTAACCGCACCCTCGAGGTTGTTCTGAAGAAATATGGTGTTACATATCAGGTGTCGACTACTTATCACCCACAAACCAACGGGCAAGCTGAAGCTTCTAACCGGAAGATTAAGGGTATCATTGAGAAAACGTCAACCATGTGAAGAAAGATTGGAGTATTCGGTTGGATGATGCATTATGGGCTCACAGAACAACATATAAAACTTCAATTGGAATGTCGCCTTATCGAATCGTTTTTGGGAAACTGTGTCGACTTCCTGTCAAGTTAGAACACCGAGCATATTGGGCTGTCAAGAAACTTAATATGAGCATGGATAAAGCTGGTAGGAAAAGAAGGTTACATATTCAAGAGCTAGAAGAAATCTGGAATGATGCTTAATATAATGACGCGAATTATAAAGAAAAAACGAATGCTTTTCATGACAAGATGATCTCGCGAAAGGTATTTACTACCGGTCAAAAGGTACTCTTGTATCACTCTCGTTTTAAACTTATTTCTGGCAAATTGAGGTCTCGTTGGGTGAGACCTTTTGTTGTTACTAACGTGTTTGATCATGGTGCCATAGAGATTAAAAGCGAACAAACAGGAAAAAATTTCAAGGTTAATGGTCACCGGCTCAAACCTTTTTATGAAGGTTTTCAAGTCACAAAAAAAAGAAGTGGAGCTTGTAGAGGTCCCGAATTACCGCAAATGAAGGAACCAAGTAACAAATTCGAGCTAACGACAGTAAAAACGGCCAGCTTACCGGGAGGCAACCCCGGGTGTCTGAAGTTTTTATTTCTTTTTGCAACTTATTTTTATTCTTTTTTGGTGTGTTTCTTAGTTAATTGAATCATGCTTTTCAAACAAAGAAAACAGAGAGAGGTTTGCGTTAAAAAGTTTGTCAAAAATCGTGTTTTTTTCAAAACATGTGATCGTATATGTGTTCGCAGGTGAGGTTCAAGGATTTCAAACCAGGTTTTTGAAAAAAAAATGCGATCGGAACCTATTTTTATGCGATCGCAAGTACCAAGATGCGATCACATGTTTTTGTATTTGCGTTCGAATATGACCGTTGAGGATTTTAAAACTGTTCCAAAAAAATTGAAAACATGCAATCGCAGGTTGTCTTTATGCGTCCGTAGGTTTCGTAATTACCACTATAAATTCTGATCGTAGCCCTCATTTGCACTCACACTCGCATATTTCAGTCTTCCTTTCTCTCTGTTTTCACATTTCTCTCAAAAAAAACCCCACAAAAACCCACATAAATTGTTCATTTCTCATCCAAATAAATCAAGTAAGGTATCAAATTCTTCCTTTTTTACTTCTACTACGTTCCTACGGTACTAGAAACGTGATTCCACAGTTGAAGTTCTCCAAAAATTCCATTTTCCTTATTTTGAAATTTGAATTTTTGCAAGTTTCTTTTTCAGATCTACGCATCGTTAAAGCTCCGTTGGACCCGAGACTTGAAGCGTTTGTTCCAAACACAGACTAGAATAGTTTCATCTGAACAGCATTTGAAATATCAAAAAAAATGGTCGCGAAAAATAAAGTGTTTGCTCAGCGCGCAGTCAGGTATATTCGTTCTGAAACTGTCACTCTTCATTTTTATCATATATCTATGCGGGCAAGAGTTGCTACCAACTTCTTAGGTACTTGATTAGGAGAATAAGTATTGGACTGAACCGCATCAAAATCATTTTATGGATCATAGTCATGAGTGATGTTTGATCAAGGTTGTATCTTTGTATTATTAGACCTAAGATACATATTTGAGACTTGAAGTGTAGGATTTTTTGTGCTTTGACATGGTTTAACGTTGTTCCGTAAAAGGCAGTTATAAGGGCTATCGTTGGGTATGACATGAACTACATGATGGGCGTATGTAGTCAAGATGAGATTTGTTCCTCTTATTCGTTGAGAGTTAGACATCTAAGGCCTTACTAAAATTTGAACACTAAATGAGATTGATGACAATTCATATCTCATGTTGAACATGATGTCGGAGACAAAAGAATAACTGATACCACACTTTTAGTAACAATTGTAGCTTAGAGCTCTTAGAATTGGATGTTAATAAGATGACACCCTTCATATGATTAACCAAATTGTCACACCTTTATCAAGTTGGCACATTTTATATATTTATTATTAATATGATTATTATTAAATAATATCAATTCTTGTATTTATTTAAGGAATAATTACTGTTTTGTGAAAATAATAACTAAAAAGAGTATAACTAGTAACTATGTCATATGCTATGATTTAATAAGCCATGTACAAAGTTTTGGACAATTTGAATAAACATGAATAAGTTAATGAGTTAACAACCATGGTTAATAAACTAGCTAGACAATTTTTGTCTTCTTCTTAAGCATGACCAAAATCTTTTTTATAAGAGAAGAGGTTGTTTGTCAACTTTCTTCTTATGTCCCCCATGCTTCTAAAAGGCTACCGATACTTTATGTTATTATAATATAAAATGCATGTCTTGCATGATAGTATAAAAATGATGCATGTGCTTGCATTTTTTGGCTAGTTTTTCACTCTTTCTCTACTATGGCAAAAAAAAATTCTCTTCCTACACCTTTCTCTCTATTGCAGCTAGTTTGGTGAATTAGAAGTTCCCTTGAGTTGTCTCATTTAGTACTTATTTTACTTAAGTACTAAATGTCTCATTTAGTACTTATTTAAAGGACTAAGACACTCAAGAATACAAAAATAAACTAGCATTCCAAGAGCCTTAATATTGATGGTGGATACTTGTAGAGAAAATCATACTCTTTGATTTTTCTATGTTCATCAACATCCTAAAACCAAGTGGGTTAAAAGGCTCCAAAGGTTATCATTCTAAAACACTTTATGGTTGTTTTAATATCATTCTAACATCTATAAATGGATCCTAGATGATTTTGTTTTGTTATAAAATCAAAAATAAACTTGTTATTTTTAACACTTCCGTTGACCGGTTCTGTTGAAAAACTAACTTATATTTTGTATCAAAACTCATCACCCACCCCCAATTATCTCCCTACTTCTCTCTATGTCTCTCTTATTTATATTTGTGCAAGTAATGAACATTGTCAAAGAAGACAACCAATCAACCTCTTCTCTTTCGCAACCATCTTCGATCAACCTCTACTCACCAACCACCATCTCCGACCACTTTGCATGTTTCATCTCCGACAACCACAAATTTTTATCCCCCAAATCAAAACTAAAATTCAACACAAAACCACACCAAACCAAAATCAAGAACAAACCTGCAACCAACAACCAATATCAAAACCTGTAAATCTTTTTAGAATCTCTACTCACCAACCACCATCTCAGACTACTTTGCATGTTTCATCTCCGACAACCACAAATTTTTATCCCCAAATCAAAACCAAAATTCAACACAAAACCACACCAAACCAAAATCAAGAACAAACTTGCAATGTGCAACCAATATCAAAACATGTAATTCTTTTCAGGTCCAAATCTTTGTTATTGAGTTCAGATTGGTGAAGAAGATACAGAATCAGCTTTCCATGATGACAACTCTGCACTCATCGATGGCGTTGAGAAGAGAACATGTTAAAGGCGGAAGGGAGAGGCAAGTTGGGGAGATTGTCAACGGTGGAAGGCGAGTGTAGATGTATTGATGATGTTGGAGGGTTTGTCGATCAAGATTGTAGACGACAACCATATTTTTTGTAATTTGGAAATGGGTTAGGGGTCTGAATAGGGAAGAGAAAAGGAGTATGGTGAGTTTTTTTTTTTTTTTTTTTTGAAATTAGTAAAATATAAAATGAAAAACAAATTATAAAGACATAATAGTCTTTTTAAGATGATAGGGATAAAAAAAACCAATAAGAAAAAACCAATTTTGAACTATTAATACACCATCAAAACATTTTAAACAAAATCATAGAATTTTGCCAAAACATTATAAACAAAATCATAGAATTTTGCCAACAAGATGATATTTTTACAATTTTGTCTTTTATTTTTCAAAATTTTCATAAAAATACTTATCTGAGCCAGGCTCTATGAGTATGCCATTTTGTCGTACTTTTATTCTTAGACAAAAGTATAAATGGACAAAAGTTAAAGTGTTATGTTGTGAAAAAACAAACAAAAATCCGTCCTTTCAATTGGTATAACATAAAATAAAAATAAAAGTAAAAAAGCAACCACTTTAATGATGTATTTATTACAGCTAAATAAAGAATCAAATATGTGATAGAAATTAATTTGTAGAAAAAGAAATATCAAGCTATGATATAAACCCAACCCCGGTAAACTCAAAGAGTATCTTCTTCTCGATCTTCAGTTCTTCACTATACAATGTCGTCGACAAGACCTGTAGAAATGACCCCCGATGAAATCGAAAAGAGGCTTCAAGACTGTCCACCAGATCTTATCAGATACGATCGATTACTGAGAGGTAGATTACCTGTGAAATATGAATTTGTAGACAGTGAGTGGATCGGAAAACCTGGTATCAAGTTAGAACGTTATACAGATGAAAAGATTACTGCACTGGGTAGGGTAGTCATACCCATGTTGTCTTCAGGTTTTAGCATAGAAGCAGAAAGATGTGCATCGATTTTTGTTCTGGCTTATCATCTTAAAGCACCAGGTAGCAGATTTAGATCTTTTATCTTCAACTCGGATGAAAGTCTACAAGTGACGTCAGATCAACAGTACAACAGCGACCCTTCAGAGATGCTGAAGGCCGCAAGTCATGTGATCGCAGCAACAGGTGATCCGACAAGAGAGGCAGCGGTGTACTCATACATTGCTGCGTCATTGTTTCGACTGTTCACAAAACCAGCGTCTCATTATGTTCAGACATGGTCTCGTTTTCTAAATGGCTTTTCTAAGTTCTACGGAGAACCAATGAGGGTGATACTTCCTGTTCCAACTGTAGCTGCAGTTGGAAGTTTGAAAGATCTATTCTCTGTGGATCGAAGTGCAAAAGTAATGCTGTATCGGTTTCTTTATATGAGTAATTCAAATGAAAGCCACAAGGGTTTCAAGACGTTTTTATATGATAATGTCCTTGAGAATACTGGTATGCACATTCTAGGTATCATTGAGCAACTCGCCGATGTTTTGAACTGTTCTCTGGGCTCAATCATCATTACCATGGAAAAAGGAAAAACGAATGTGCAAATGAAAAGTTTGCTTCATGTGTTGAAAATGATGACTTCAAATGATGAGAATCATAAAAAGGAATATGTGGAGGTATGGGAGGATATTCGATGAAGCATTCTTGGTTGATCTCCAAACGAAATCATGTGTAGATGTGGTGTATGTATTAGCAGAGGCACTCAGATCTGAGTCACCAGAAAAACACAGTGGGATTATGCAGATTGCTCAATTTGCAGACATTAGCGAGGAGAAAAAAAGGAGATGTGCTAAACCAGCTCAACTGCTTTTGACCCACCTCAAAAATCAAAACCCTTCCAGCATCTAGCTGACTATCTCTGTAATTTCCAGTTTTTAAGATATTGTGTTATATTCATCTCTACTTAGTAATATTTGTTCTCTTTTGTTGATGTTGCTTTCGTTTGCATGATGTACCTATTTATATATGTGGATAAACTCTTATACAAAATTCCCCTATTTGTGTCATAGGACAAATCTTTGCTCTCTTTTTTCCTTCCTACATATGTATTGTATATGAATGACATTGCAAAAACTGATTACATTTTCCAAAGTCGATGCTTTAATAGGAAGAAACAAAAATAAGATACCATATTACCAATGGAAATACACTTCTCTTTTATGCATATAACCATTGATCGAAAGACTATCTGCCACGAATTTGTGAAATGAAGAAATCATGCAGATCATCGTCATTAGCTGAAACATTATAATCATCCTCATAGTTGGGTGTTGATGGCAAGCTTTTAATAAGAGTTAATAGGATATTAGCGACGTTTTTGCGACGGTTTGGCAACAGAATAAAATCTGTCGGTATTTTATTTTTTAATTCTAAGGGCAATTCGGTAAATTCAACTAAGGGGTATTTCCGAGGGATGAGCCGTGCTGCATCATATCGACTTAACCTAAATCAATCTCCCCAGAACTGTGAACGAAGGCGTCAACGCTCCGACTGGAGTTCTTTGAGTAGTGCTTAATTCTCTTTGCATAGCTTACAACACAGGTGTAATTTTTATACCTAAATTCGTATCGTCCTTTCTGAGCGAAATTAAGAAGATGAATGTTAGTGTAATTGATGTAATCGATCGGAATTGGGTTGGGTGCAAGGGAGATTTGGATTTACAAGGTTTTCATTTCAAATAGATGTTTAGTACTCACGATTTGAGTCTCCTTCCCATATTATGGTATCGATAAAGAAAAGTTTTGGTTCATGACTTCAAAGCTCCTGTCTGGTACGTAAAGACCATACAACAAAGACATATATAATACACCTACTGCAAAAACAAACAACCTGGAAAAATAAGAAAATAAATAGCTAGCATTTCATCATTATAAAAGCATTAGGTTTGGAGTTTTGACTTACCTCTGAATGTAGAATTTCTTTCCAAATGTTATGGCCGAATTGACTTCATTATTGTTAACACACCATATCTCGGTGGTTATTGAAGCCAACAGATATCCAATTGAAATCCTCTGTATAGTTATATTATAATTGATACATATGATTGTCATTGACATCCAAAGAAAGTTCTTGCATAGATATCTTTGAAGCTGTAAAATCTGGTTAAAATCTGGTTATAGTCTTATAGATAACTACTGAACTTAGTTTATTTGTTCTTTTTCCCTATTTTGTTTAAACTTTTCTGCATACAATGAACTTCTTTCTTTGTCCAAGATTAGATGTCACTTTCCATTAGCTGAAAACTTATTATTAACTAAATCATTCCAATCTTACACCATTAAATTGACCACAACACCCATCCCCTCCCCCTATTTACACAACCCACCATCTTTTATATATAAAATCTTCACAAACACTTGTTTTTTTAGATCATTGTTAATTTGATGTAAGGTTTGGTAGCATTGAGCGCATAGGAATAAACTGAATATGAATTATTATCGAGCCTGATTGAATCAAATCACTGCATGACAAGACAAGAAAGAGAAATTATATGTGTAGAATGAAAAAGTAAAATGGAACTAAGATTCTAATTCTAGTCTAAGGGGGCTTTTGGTCCAAGGGATATGATGAATTTACATTCAAAATCTATACAAGTTCTTTGTTTTTTAAAACTAAAAATAAAAAAGAATAGGATTTTAATCCCAAATTGCAGTTGACGACAGTCTTTCCTGGTGGTCGTTTTAGTTGTAGAGTTAGTGAGGGCAATAAGGTCTTTTCCAGTTAAGTGAGTAGGTAGGTCTGTGTTTAGTTTGCTTCTTGCCATTGGGATTTTAAGAGTTAGCCTTCCTTTATATAATATTACTCTGACTGACCTAGTTCCAAGTTAAGTTAATTTTGATTCTTTTTTTTAGTTAGCTCAAACACATGCTGCTGACATCAATATTGAGGAGGACATGGATACTAGTGCTCCTTAATATTGATGTCAGCAGCATCTGTTTGAGCTAACTAAAAAAATGAATGAAAATTAACTCAACTTGGAACTAGGTCAGAGTCAGAGTAATAATATATAAAGGAAGGCTAAAACTTAAAATCCCAATGGCAAAAAGCAAACAAAACACAGACCTACCAACTCACTTAACTAGAAAAGACCTTATTGCCCTCACTAACTCTACAACTAAAACAACGATTGGGAAAGACTATCGTCAACTGCAATTTGGGATTAAAATCCTATTCTTTTCTTTTTTTAGTTTTACCAAACAAAGAACTTGTATAGATTTCAAATGTAAATTCATCATAATCCCTTGGACCAAAAGCCCCCTTAAAATAGAATTAGAATCTTAGTTCCATTTTACTTTTTCATTCTACAAATATAACAAAAATTTCTCTTTCTTGTCTTGTTGTGCAGTGATTTGATTCATTCAGGCTCGATAATAATTCATATTCAATTTATTCCTATATGCTCAATGCTACCAAACCTTACAGCAAACTAACAATGATCTAAAAAAACAACTGTTTGTGAAGATTTTATATATAAAAGATGTTGGGTTGTGTAAATAGGGGGAGGGGAGGGGTGTTGTAGTCAATTTAATGGTGTAAGATTGGAATGATTTACTTAATAATAAGTTTTCAGTTTATGGAAAGTGACATCTGATCTTGGAACAAAGAAAGAAGTTCATTGTATGCAGAAAAGTTTAAACAAAATAGGGAAAAAGAACAAATAAACTAAGTCCAATGCTTATCTATAAGATTATAACCAGATTTTACATCTTCAAAGATATCTATGCAAGAACTTTCTTTCGATTCCAATGACAATCATATGTATCATTCATAATATAAATATACAGAGGATTATAATTGGATATCTGTTGGCTTCAAAAACAGGTTGCAGCTTTTCTGAGAGATTTTGACGGACAGAAACAGTAAATGAAGAATCGTGAGTTTCAACGATTCTCAACAAGTACCGGTTGATTTCGGAAATGAAACCTCTAATCAAGGATCTTTCTCCTTCAAGATTGGCAATACGAGTTGAAGCATTCTTCAGCTTTTCCGAAAGAGCCTTGGTTTTCTGAGTGTTATCAAGTTTGATGTTTGCTTGGAGTTTGGAGAGAGCTTCTTTCTCAGACTTCAATGAAGTACGAAAAGCTTCGATCACCTTGTTCATATCGGTTGTGTTCTTGTCAGAAGAGGTTTGGAAGTCAGCCGTAAATTCCTTGACTTCCTTTTGTAAGAGCATGACATGTTCTGTAGCTTCTGAGATCTTCTTTTCGGAAGCTTGACATGCCTTTGTTGTATCTTCAAGAACTTTGTCATTCGACGATGTGAGCATCTCCACCGGGGGAAGGGCTTGGCCTGATTGCATTGCATCTCTAGGAGATTTTGCACTTTTGAATTATTTTTAGTCTGATGTTGTTTTGAAACACTTAGTTACTTGAATATCTTTTGGAAGTTTAAAGAATGAATGTTTTGATTGAGTTTTAAAAATGAAAATTTTCCTTAGTATTTTTGGGATGTTACAAGTTGGTATCAGAGCCTTGGTTTGAGGGATTCAGACACATTCTCATGTGTCTCTGGACTAAAACTGAGGAATTGATAGATCTTTTAAAAGAAAACGATTTTCAAAATGGTTTTTAAAAAAGAAAAAGGGTGTGATGCATGCAATCAGCTGATCTCGAGTAAGTATTTCCCAAAATACTCATACATGTTTATATGTTTCAGAATGTGAATATGTATATAGCATGCTAGATTAGGGCTAATGATCTACTTAAGGTTGCATGATAGTATACTAGGAGAGATGCCTTTATATGCTTGTGGATTGAACTTTTAGAACTGCATGCTAGTATGGATTCAGATATTGGATAGCATGGCATGGTTAGGGTATGCTTTGGTATGGATTACTTGATGCTCGAATGTTGTTTGCTTTGTGCTTTTGGAGACTTCCGTTGATATCAGCTAACTATTAATCGAATACATTATGTTATATGTTATAGGGATTAGATAATTTTACAAGGTTAGGTTTAAATCTATTACACAACTATTGTCTGAGTCTAACCGTTGTAGTGTGAGACCTTACAGTCGAAGAATTATCTAGTGCCTCCAGTATGTAACTGTAGTCTTGAGATAGTTAGAAGGTATTAGAGGGAGTTTCTTCTGCAGCTGATGGCGGAGAGTGGTGTGAAGGGAACCCTAGGAAAGCCTAGGAGATATTTTGGTGTGTTGAGTGCATTTCTCTACAAGTGAAGTAATTGGATGATAGGGAGTAACTTAGAGGATTCAAGGCGATCCTTGAGGAAAGTACGGATAGGTGTGGAAGGTAGTATTAAGCCCGTACTACTAAAAACACAGGATCCGTACTTGAATCAAGGGAAGTCACAAGGATTCTAAGGAGCTTGTAGAGTGTGGAATTCCTCGAGCATGCTCTGATAGTTTATTGTTTACTTTTAAGTTAACAGTAAAGTTCAAACAATTACAACAAGCTAAAACATTAACAAGTAAATATTCTTTTATAAAATATCTTAAGTTAACAACAAACATTAATCACTTAGAACAACATCTTAACAGTCAAAATAAACCTAGCTGCAGTAAGCAAATTTTATAAAAAAATATAAACCTACCTACAGTAAACAAATTTATTGAAAACTTTGACTACAATAAAGTTATATAAGACATTTGGTATCAAAGATTCTGAAATTATGAAATT